TGGGCCAAACGTTCGGCTTCCTTCCACGCTTTCTCGTCCTCCACTGCCTTACGTTCGGCTTCCTTCCTCTTCGCTTCCTCCTCTGCCCTTTGTTTTTCCTCCTCAGCCAAACGCGCGGCTTCCTTTGCCCTCGCCTCCTTCTTCGCTTCCTCCTCTGCCTTTCGCTGTTGCTCGGCCAAACGTTCGGCTTCCTTCCTTTTCGCTTCCTCCTCCTCAGCCTCTGCCTTTCGCTGCTGCTCGGCCAAACGTTCGCCTTCCTTCCTCTTCGCTTCCTCCTCTGCCTTTTGTTTTTCCTCCTCAGCCAAACGCGCGGCTTCCTTCCTCTTTGCTTCCTCCTCTGCCTTTCGCGTCTCCTCGGCTTCCTTCCTCTTCGCTTCCTCGTCCTCCTTTGCCTTTCGCTTCTCCTCCTCGGCCTCGGCCTTTCGCTTGTCGTCCTCGGCGGCCACACGTTCGGCTTCCTGCTTCTTCGCTTCCTGCTCTTGTGCTTTTCGCTCCTCCTCCAAACGTTTGGCTTCCTGCTGCTTCGCTTCCTCCTCCTGGGCCAAGCTCTCATCCTTGCCCTCCACATTCTTGCTCGCCAGGAACTTGAGCGCCTCTTCGATGCAACCATTCTCATCCTGCAACTTGGCGATGCGAAGAAACTGCATGTACATATCCTGGGTGAGCACGCCAAGTCGCACTCCAGCAATGTCCTGGGAATGAACTCGATGGCTCACCATGCAGCCGGCAGGGAAGTACATCACGTCGTTGGGGCCAACTGTGGCGCAAAACGCACCACCCTCTTTCTGGAGAGCTTCAATGTCACCCTCGGTGCACTTGAAAAGGAAGTCCTGCACGCTTGCAAGGTTCACAGCCTCCTTTGGATCACGCTGGCCCAGAAACTTCAACACATCACTCAACAGGATGACAGTGATGAAGCGGGTGCCCGCATACGCGGCCCGGATACAAGGCATCAGCTGCAACTCAAACTTGCCAACCGAGATGTTTGAGGCTGCGACGCCAAATGTGCTACAC